CAGCAAAATTCAAATTGTTGACCAGAGCAGTCACGATAGACATTGTGCTACACCTCCAGGAGGCCAATTAGGTTAACATAGCCATGTCCAGTGTCTACACTGATGCTATGTTACTCTGTCACAAAAACTCTATATCACTTCTTGAAGTGGTTTTATTATGTCAATGTAGCAGGGGAGTTACATCAACAGAAGGAACATTTCAGTTTTGTGGTGAAAGCCAACTTTTTTCAACAAAACTCTGTTGGGTAGACAAAGCCCTAGAGAGCACCATCTGTTTAGCTTGTCAAAAGCAAGACTGAGAGGTAACTTGATTACAGTGTATAAGGACCTTCACAGGGAGAAAATACCAGGTAGTAAAAAGCTTTTGATCTAGCAGAGAACTGTGTAACAAGAACCAGTGCCTGGAAGCTGAAGCCAGACAAATTCAATTTAAAAATAATAGGCATGTTTTTAACAGTGTTGGTGATTAGTGTTTGAGACAAACTATCAAGGGAATTAGTGGATTCTCCATCTCCTGATGTCTTCAAATCAAAACTAGTTGCCTTTCTGGAAGTGATACTTCAACCAAATAAGTGATGCATTAGTCAAACAATAAGTGAAATTTAAAGCTCTGTGAGACAAGCTAATAGTCCCTTCGGGCCTTCAACTCTACCAGTGGGTTCAAAGATCACTCAAGTAATAATTAGAGATGGTCAACATTTTGTGAATGAAAGTTTTTAATGCCAGATCCTTTTCACTGTAAAACATCCTTTATTGAAATGGGAAGGACTTTGCGGGGAGGGGGAGAAGGTTAATTTTCTTCAAAAAGATCTTTTCCCCAATAATCCCCCAAAATAAATTTCTGGTTTCTCCACTTCTCTCTTCCCTCTTTTGCCTCTCCTCACACATGGAAAAAGGGGGAAAAGGAAGAAAATGAAAACAATTATAAAAAATTAACACAGCTGTGAAAAATGTTCAGTAAATGTAGAATTGTTCCTTTTTAAACCTGTGGTGCTAATATTTGTAATTTTTTCATATGGTCATAAAACTACCATTTTCAGTCAACTCTATGATAGCTTTGTTATGTCTTTTTTCTCCCAACACCCAAGGAACATTCACATGCTTTAAATCCCAGTGGCTTGTTTTAGATCAAGAATGAACAAAAGTAAAATCGCCAAGCGAGAGCACAGAACGTGCATTTTCTGTAACATGCTGCATCACTTCTGCCTCAAACTGCTCTAAAAAATGTAACAGTTCAATGAAGAGAAAAGACTCATATCACATACACCACAGACTCCGATTTAAGAATGAAAGATGAACTACAGCAATATAGACTATTACAGTTTTAGAAAAATATTGTTAGGATAAGCATAAAAGGAAATAAGACTGGAGAGCAAGATCTTTATCCCAGCTCCTGCACCTGCTCCTGCTCCTTTGTTGGGTATGAAAAGGTTGCTGCAGCATAAAAAGGTCCCAAAAGCTCCATATTCAGTTGTGGAAGAGTCCCTGGTATGGGCAATGTAGAGAACAGTTATCAGACTACCACCTGAGGACCACTGGTAACCTCTAGAATAAGGGGTGTACAGATGATGTGGCTGGGGATAGGATGCCTTGGACTGGAAAGCAACATGCGGTGCTGCATATATTTTGGGTAGGGTTGTAGTCCAGGCAGCTAGGCTACAAAATTATCTAAATTTTGGTGGTGGTGGTCGGGGGGTTTGCAGTTCCCAGAGCAGCAGGAAGGGGGGCACTTTCAGGGTTGCCAGATGGTTTAACAAAAAATACCGAGCCCCACTCCCCCAAAAAAACACCAGGAAAAAATTCTGTTGAGAGAAAAAAAAAAGGGGGGAGACCAAAATTGTTAAGAAAAAAAAATCAGCAGTGTGACCCCTTTAAGAAACACTTTGTTTTTGAGGCTTTTTGGCCCTAACAAGCTGCCGGCGACTGCCTGTCATCTTGCCTCCCTGTGCTGGGCCAGACAGCTTCCATGCAGAACCCGGTAAGCACCCGGGATTTTCACCTCCTGGCCAGGAAAAAAAAAATCAGAAAATACCTTTTAGGCATCCGGTATTTTCTGAATTTTTTTTTTACCAGACAGGAGGCGAAAATACCAGACTGTCCAGTTCAGTACCAGACACCTGGCAACCCTAGGCACTTTAGACTATCATTCTTCAGGATTATGAATTCTGTATCTCACCGGTAACACACAACTCTCTTAAATGTGCAATCCAGCATTTCCATATCAAGTGCCAATGATAACCCCACAGATGATCTTGTTCTTGAAAACAGCATCACCTCTTCGTCTGGACCCCTGTAGATTTCAGTGAGGCTCCACCTGGGTATGCAAGGTCCAAGTCTTTTGGCAGAACCTGAAAGATCATCTAGAAGCCTGTCTGACTCCTGGTCCTGCATTTATAAACTGCAGGCCATACTTTCTTGTTAGGCAATTTTAATTACATGGCAGATAAGCAGCACAGTCCCCTTTCATTCAGAACGGTGGTAACAAGGCAATAAAGAAATGAGTGATATATGTCAACACTGGTAGTAATGGCGGTACTGAAGACTGCAAAACTCTTCCATTATAAATCAGCTTTTACATTCCTAATTTTAAATCACCTTTTGCATTCAGATTCCCCACCAAAGATCCCAAAAGGCAAATTTGTTTTGCTTTTTTAAAGCCTGAGTATACTTTTGTATTTGGAGAGTTGGGAAATACGGTACTTAAGGAAATTCTGTCTACTCCCCTCCAAGCAAAGAACTAAAAGTGTCACATATAAAGTTTCATAGTTCAGACATGTGAGGAGCTGGGGAGGAATGAGGAGGGCATACATTGCAAAGCATGGTTTAATTCATTTTTACTAGATATTTTTCCCTGGGGAGAAAGGAGAACATCCCCATTTTCCTGAAAACTCACATCAGCTTCAATCCTGCCATGTGTCCTGGAGGAAAACCCTTGGACTTCACTGAGGCTGTATTCAAGTGCATGAGTGTACCTCATGAAGTGCAGCAGTCCCAGTTCTGCAACTGGGACAGTGACAATATTCCTTGCATTCCATGAAATAAACCACAAACGCTTGCATACTGCAGTAAGCATCTGGGGAGTATGCAGAGGAGGCTTTACAAATATTAATTCCTTTATGTTAACTGGCAATCAATTAACTGAGAGTAAAAAAAGGACATACCTAGGGCCAAATTCATTGGGGGACCAAACCTGAGCTCCAGGTACTGCTGCTGGGTCTGGCCCACCAGCATCAGTGAAGAGGAACATCTATGGGTGTCCCACTATATACTCACATTTGGCCCCAGAGTCATTTGCTATGATGGAGGGACTCCAGGGGCAAACCTAAGCAGTGCTTTGACCCTCATGCACCAGGTAGCAATGCCCCTCACTCAATTTGGCCCAGTTGTCCTCCATCACAAGGCAGGGCCATGAGGCCAAACCCGAGTGGGAAGTGGGGTGATCAGCACTGTTCTTGCTTCCTGCTGCCATTGGGTCAAATCCTGCACAAGGCTCCCTCCTGGGGGCCTTTTTGGCCTCACCTTGCTTCCAGTACCCCATGCTGCTTCTGCTCTCCTTGCAGGACTTGCTCAGTGACAGCCTTAAGACCTGCTACAAGTATCTTAGAATCACAGAATAATAGAATTGGAAAGAACCTTGAGAGGTCATCAAGTCTAGTGCCCTGTACCAGGGGCAGGAGCAATCATCATCTACCATCCAGTCTAGTGCCCTGTACCAGGGGCAGGAGCAATCATCATCTACCATCCATGACAGACATTTGTCTAACCTGCTCTTAAAAATCTCCAATGCCGGACATTCCATATCTTCCCTAGCCCATTTATGCCAGTGCTTAACCACTCTGACAGTTAGGAAGCTTTTCCTAATGTCCAACCTAAATCTCCCTTGCTGCAATTTAAGCCCATTGCTTCTCGTCCTATCATCAGAGGTTAAGGAGAATACTTTTTTCTCCCTCCTTCTTTCAGAACTCTTAGCTACTTGAAAGCTGTTATCATGTCTCCTCAGTCTTCTCCCCAAGTATGGGGAGCTATAGTGAGCGCCCACAGAAGGAAACTCGCCCCCTGTTCCATAAAGGTGTAGTCCCCCATATGGCTGGTCTATGGCATTCCAGATGTTCATCATATTTGCCATCACTTCAGTTCTGGCTGGCTCTTAGGTGCCCAGTTCCGAGGCAAGCACTGCAGTCTTGCAACAAGCAAGCCCAGGCACAGGCCAGCTCTGTGCGCAGGGGGCTAGTGACTCAGAGGAGAAGTGTGGAGGCTTCATTGTCTCTCTCTAGTGGGAATAGAGACTGTATTTGTTTGGCACATGCCCAATAGGTGAATGCAGAACCAGACCGGGGGAGGGGTTGCTGGGATCCTCCAGGGGAGCATGACCTAATGTTGGGATATTTCGTGGGGAGGGGAAGGTGAAGTAGCTCTAAGGACTATCTTCTGTAATTATTAAGTACTTGGCATTACACAAAAAGGAGCTTGGTTTTCACCCGAACAGGACAGCGTGTGGGTGTAACAGAGGTTAATCAACTGTCCATGAATCTGTTAAAAGGGAGGCAGCCGAGGTATATAATCAGCCTCCAAAGTTGTTTTATTTTTAGCAGATGTACAAACAAGTTGTCAGCTCTAAAATGCAGGGCCAGGCTCCATGTTGTGACTAAGGTAGCACCAAGCTCAGGGCTGACACTATAGCTGCACCCTGAACAGTGCCAGGAGAACATTGGTTTGCCAGTCCTCGAGAGGGCCAGCGTGTGCTTGTTTCTTGCACCTTTCCCTTTCCGTGTCCTAAGCGCTGGGGCTAGGGGGCTGCCCAGAGCGGACTGAACCGGGGCTGACGGCTCATGAACTGAGGAATGAGACGCACCCAGGTGTAAACTGCCCAAGCGAATAACAGGAAACAGTAATAAGAAACTTCCCGTGAAACTGGTCACAAACGCCAGTGGGGCTCCCCTTCCCCGCTGCCTTGCACTCCCACTGCTCAGCCCCCCCGGGCCAGGCACGCCCCGACTTACCTTGTTTGTGTTGTACCACGAGTTGGCGTGGGAGCCATTGCTGGCCCCTTGCTCCGCTAAGGCGGCGTTCCAGGGCAGCTGGTCCAAAGTGGTCGGGAGAGCCATGTCTGCAGCCTCACTTGTGCCCCCGGGGGGACTCCGCCGCAGGCAGTGCCATGAGCTGCAGGGGACGTGTGGCTCCCAGGAGAGGAGCGGGAAGACTTTACAGTCACTTCCTGGTTTGGGACGGTTTGGGAGTAGGCAAGTCTACTTGCATGACAGCCCTCTGCACTGACTGAGGCTGGGACGCTGCACAGGTGTATGAAGACGTGGGGGAACGTGGAGGTGTATTGCAGGATGCGGGAACGATGGTTTGTTTTGTTGCCTATACTAATTTGTAATGGGTAGCATAACCTTAACAGCAAAAACAGTTGCAGGGACTTTTCGGCTAGCTTTACTGCTCCTGTTCTGGAGCAGCTGCCTGACCCTGAAAGCTTAACTCTTTCACAACCCACTAAGTACTGACTAACTGATAACTCAGACTGGTTAGATTGTCCACTGCAAATAAACTAGCCATTGAATTTAGGTGGGTTTTTTTTAGTATTAACTCATTTGCATAAACATTTTTGTGAGCATATTTTCTATTTGTAAATATTTGCCAGATAATTTATGTGAACAGATTTCAGCCAATGGGTCTGTTTTCAAGATGTTGCTCGACCTGTTCGCAATTTCTGATTAGTCATCTATACTGTATGGTATTATTTCTCAACAGTGACTGATTAGATCAATGAAACTTTTTCAACAGGATAGTAAGTAATAATCAAGTGTAGATACTCTACATCATGCATGTAAACCACGGTGGATCAATTTAAATCAAGCGGATTTAAATCATTGATTTAAATCACCAAAAATCATTGATGTAACCAAGTTTTCCCACTAATAGATCTTCACATATTTCTTAACAATAGTGTAAATCTGATCACTAAAAAGTAAAATGTACATTGTAAATTAATATTACCTGTGTCAAGTTGCAGATGCAGAAGCAGTACATTAGCAATAGTTAGAACTAAATCACACACACAAACACAATAGCACTTGTATTTATTAAATGAAATGTTAAATGTTTTATTACATGTTTCACATTTGCAATTGCAGCAGTATCCTGAGTGGTGTCTTTAAACCTTTTTTTCAATTTTCAAATTCTATTAATTCTAACAGTCAAGTCTTCAGAACACTAAATATCTGGTGTCATTAACACTTCTCCAACTAGCTCTTATCTTCCCCACTCCCACTGTCATTTGGATTCATAGACAAACTGAAATACCACTCCCACTGTCATTTTGATTCATAGACAAAGTGAAATTTGAGTTTCCCTGCTTTTTCAACTCTGTCAATATTTTAGCTTTGAGTGAATAATACCAAACAATGGCAATATTCTTCCTTTGCCTACAGAGGAAGCTACTGCTGTGAAAAGTTGGGTTAGCAACTGTTTCAAGGTGCCTAGCTAATGATTCCCATTGATTCAGTTTGTTCAAAACATCATCAGTCAATATTTACTGATTATATGGTTTTGCTCACACCCCTTTCATATATTCTGCCTAGCATAACTGAGGAGCAATTTTGAGATGCTCATGCCACAGCAGCAGTGGTATCTACCTTTATACCTGGGATTAAGGATGCTCACAAGAAAGTGAGATGGAGTTAGTGTTTGATCCATCTGCTTCTTTATTGTCCACAGTTTAACTTTCTGGTGAGGTATTTCAATGTCTCTTGAAATGCCTTCCACATTTTGATAGTGTCAGCAATGCAGCCACAATTTCTCTGAAGTTGTTTAAGGCTTAGGGGTTCAAGTATAGATTTTAGTACACTGAGTATGTCATAGAATTCTAGAGCTGGAAGAGACCTCAGGAGGTCATCGAGTCCAGCCCCTCCCCAAAGCAGGATCAATCCAACTAAATGTCCCCGACATTCCTCTTTAGTCCAATGTTAGATACTTTCTGTTTAATCTACTACTGTCTATTTAATCATGATTTTCTTCACAAAGTTTTATGAGAATAGGCCAATTCTTAATAAATTCAAAACAATCAACCACGGAATGCCACTGAACATTTTGCGGGAGAATTAGTTTGGATCCTCCTGTTCTCTTCAGTGAAGCTAATGCAAAATGGTTGTTAGGGAAGTATTTTGTGACTTCAACATTTTATTTTATTCTGGTGAAGACATACTTTGGATGTCTTGGGCTAAGTCTTCTGTTAAAAGATGCGCTAAATGGGCACTGCAGCCATGTTGTTCGGGAGCATACTTCTGTTTTTTCTTCTGAGTCTTTTCTCACCTTTGCCATGTTTGCAGCTTTGTCTCACACAACTTTGCACATGACAGTTGAATTTTTGTTCACAGTTTAATATAGCTTTCACTGTCACTTTGAAATATTCTGTTGAGTAGGCATTTCCTAATGTAGCTATTTTTTCTGAAAGATATGCAAGCCCATCTTCTATTATCACACAAGCACAAATTACTGAATCTTTGTGTACATTGCTCCACCCATGGAGGCTTAAACTTGCAAATTTCCCCTCAGTATTTCTTGCACGCTGTTTGAGTTCCTTCTCATACACTGCATCTAGCAATCTTCCACCAAAGTCTGCTCTACCAGGTGGTTTGTAGCCTAGTTGTAAGGACTCATACTAGTCAATGAAGGTGTTTATTGTTAACAATGCCAAAAAGAGAATTTGTGGCATAAATGAACTGAGGAATTTTTTCATCTCTTGTGTCTTGCTGGTATTTGCTGGTCCTTACTACAACCCAATCCATAGTGGTGATTTTATTGTATGATTGAAATCTTTTGCTTGCTACCCACCCACTTCGTTGTCTGAAATATGTTTAGTTGCATCACTGCTGCTTAAAGTACCAACAGATGATTCTGAAGTTATTGCAGCTAACCAGTCCTTTTTGCTTAAATGGGATTCTGAAACAAAATTCAAAAATTATTTTGAATAGTTGTTCTTCTCAGTTCTTCTCACTCTACTGATTAGTTATTCATTTACATTTTTTTCAACAAGGATGCAGATCTGATTCCAAGTTACCAAAAAAAACCCTAAGACTGACTGCACTTAATTTTGGAATAAGTCTTCGTGAACTCACTGGCACTTCTGTTTTTTTGAAAAAACAAGTATAATATGTGGTTCCCTTAGGAAAGATGAGTTATGCTGAAGTAAACTAGGGAATAGATTATGACATCACCACTATGGTCTGTTCCAAAATAGAGAGCACATATTATGTAACATAAAATAAGAAAATGACACTCAGCGGCAACTGGCAACTCTAGATTTCTCTTACTGAAGGTTTCTGTATTGTGTATTTGGGTAATAACTAAATTTAGAATCTAACTAATTAAACAAACCATAAGGATTACTAAATAAAACTTTTTTTTCTATCAACATCCAACATAGCAAACAGCCTGGGAATTTACTTACGAAATCACACTTATATTAAAAGTCATAGAGAGATTCTTGAAGAATGAAGCATTGCAAAGTGAATTATTTAAGTTACTAATCAGCTGATCCACTCAACCATATTCACATATTCATCCACATCATGTTCTCTCAAGAAGCACTTTTTCTTCTGATGTTTTATTCTGGCAACTAGGCCCTGCATCATCTTCTTGCATTGCTTACACCTGACCCATTTTCCTTTCTTACCCAGGGAATGAATTTCTTCTAAATATTCCCAGATAGAGTCTCTCTTACACCCAGAAGCCACAACAGATTTCTGTGGCAAAATTGTAAGGGAATACAGGCAGCTTTGTGTGTGCTGCTGAATAATCTTTTCCTTTTTTCTTTCCAGTCCACTCCACTGTTCCTTTCTATGCTGCCTCTGTCCTTTCCTATATCGTCTCTTTGTTTTTAAGACAATGTCTTAACAAACTCCTCCGTCTTTGGCCAAGGCCCACCACCACATAAGCAAAGAACAGGAACAGTCCTATTTGGCTTGTGTCCTGCTTTGCACATGCTACTCTTTAGTCTGCTTAGAAACAGAAATTGAAAACCCAGAACTTTCAAGAAAAGCTGGTAGTTAGGCTGGACAGATTAGAGCCATAAATTCATTTTTATGGGACTGTACGGCTATGTCTAGACTACATCCCTTTTTCGGAAAAGGGATGTAAATTAGACATATCGCAATTGCTAATGAAGTGGGGATTTAAATCTCCCGCGCTTCATTAGCATAAAAATGGCTGCCGCTTTTTTTCGGCACGGAGCTTTGCCGGAGAAAATCGCCAGTCTAGACGCTGATCTTTCGGAAAATAATGCCTTTTCCGAAAGATCCCTTATCCCTCTAAGAGAGTTGGCAGATTGAGTTTGTCAGGTTGTTTGGAATTTTTGTTAGTTTGATCTGGGTGGGGGTTTTTTTGTTTTGTTTTGTTTTGTTTTGTTTTTTTTGTCTTTCAAGAGGGATAAGGGATCTTTCGGAAAAGGCTTTATTTTTCAAAAGATCAGCGTCTAGACTGGTGCTTTTCTCCAGCAAAGCTCAGTGCCGAAAAAAAGCAGCAGCCATTTTTATGCTAATGAAGCGCGGGAGATTTAAATCCCCGCTTCATTAGCAATTGCGATACGTCTAATTTACATCCCTTTTCCGAAAAAGGGATGTAGTCTAGACGTAGCCTACGTGTAGGTGTAGCATGTTTGTGATGAGATTTAATAGTAACTTATTTTTAAATCAGAATTTTAGTATTTCCTTGATGATTTAAAAAAAATTAAAGTCTGATTTAAATTTAAAAAATAATTTTTATCCAGCCAGATGTAAGCCTTTGTTCATAGGTTCATTTCCTTTTTAAATCAATTAATGATTTTAAATTGGTGTGTGTATATGAAGAGTGCACAAAATGTAAATATCTCTGGTTTTTAAAAGGGAAAGTAGTTGGATTTTAAAGATGAAGTCAAATTTCTCTGGACAAATTTTTCTCACTGTAGTGGGAAAAGGGAATAGAAGGACAGTTAAAAGGTTGAGAGGGTATTTAAGGAGGTCACCACATTTGGGTCTCAGGAAGAAAGACGGGCTTGCGGGGAGGACTATCACAGGAGGATAGACTGTTTCACAGAGTAGTAGAGAGGGCTCTAAACTGAGAACAAAAGACAGAGCTGTTTCATCCTAGGATTTATAGCGTCTGCCAGAAGCTGCAAGCTGGGACTTTATTCCCTGACTGACACATCAGGGTTGGGGATGTGGTCTATCCCCTACAGCCATGGCTCATGAAGCCCTACATCAGCCACCTCAATCCTTCACAACAGGCATTTAATGCCAGGATGAGCAGGTCCAAAACTTTATAATTTATATGTCTGTAATTAATAAAATAAATAATTCATTAAACAATAAATATCCTAAGAGGTAGATTATTTACAGTGGTGTAGTGAGGGGGGGAGGGGAAGTGGCCCCTGGGTGCTACACCAATGA